GACTCAAATTTTCAAGTTTAAAATAATCTCTACTAACACTAAAATATTTTGCACATATGCTTCTATTTTATTTACAGAAGATTACTTCAAGAAAAGAAAATACTGACTTCATTAATTTTGATTTTTATTTTCTTCAGATGTAATGAACACTCTTCAAGAAAATAACATATCCTACTTTCATAAGTGGTATGTGCTTGTTTCCTACCTATCCACACAAAATGGGTTATCTCCCCAAGGTGTTTGCTAGAGATTTTTATTTTTTTTTGTCTGGAGTGAGACATCAGAATTCTTCTGTTTGGGAGCTGATTGGATTATGCTCATTATTTTATGATCATCCCAGAAACACACTCATAAATCTTACTGCAATGCCATTAGAATAAGATGTTCTGATTATGCTTTATTAAAGCAGATGCTACCATCTGCCCTGCAGAGGAATAAAAATATGATTCACTACATTCAAGAGACTCTTGGCAAATATCTTCCCCTGTCCAAATAAGATTTCTGAATTAAACTTTGGGTTGAAAATAGTGCAAATTGGAAATAAAATTATAAAATTCCTTTTTTTTTTTTTTTTTTTTTTTTTTTGTGGGAGTAGTACATAGAGAAGAAAGGAGGCAACCCCAGCAAAGTCACCTCTGAATGCAGAGACCAACCAGACTTGTTTTCAGAGGAGGAGAAGGTAAAACAGGAGTTCCCATACTCTAAGTGATGGAAATCCAGATTAAAATGCAACAGCTTAGATTTATCTTCACTAATTACTTTAACTGGCACACAATCTGTTGATCTTAAAGACTGTGAAGACCTAAGCAGGGAGTGAATCATTCCCTGTGAATATTCACACACTCTCTGTTGCTCTAATGGCAACAACACTCACAGTCAGCACTGGATAAGCAAGGCTTGGAACAGAGGCATCCTTTGGACCTGCCTTTTTCTTGACTTCGAGTGTTCAGTCTGATTTCAGCCCTCCAAACCAATGCGAGGTTTCATTGAAGGAGAATCAGCTGATCTGTTTTCTCCAAATTCACATCTGCTGCAGGAAACCACCATTGATTTATCACCATTTCCTTGGGTGATATGCCAATGGCTTCTCATACGATCACCGGTTTATACTTGCAACTTTTTGGAAGTCAGATCCATTATTTACCATTCCCTGAATTGCACTGTCTGGTCACACCAGGTTTCTTATCTTTACCCCTCTATTAAGTGCTCTATTTTAACCTGTATTCAATCCTCAACTTTTATCTTCAGCTACTTCCGATTTAACCCGGAAAATCTGACTAAACAGAGAAACACAGAATGCATTTTATATATCACATACACAAAGTTGAGAAAACCACTAATGGTCCCTCATTTGTTTGTTGATGATCCGACAGAGAAATAAAGCCCTGGTTTAGGCATTTGAAGATAGCACATTTTCATTTTTAATCTCTATGAAAATATACAGCTCTTTCCCCTTGGCAAGTTTCAGTCACAGGTTTTGCAGAAATACTAGTGAACCACAAAACAGTCATAAAAATCTTGCTGTACAGGTTATCAAATTAGAGTTCAAAATCCAGGTTGTGCTTAAAATCCTCTAAACCACTACACTGGAACTTGGCAGGTGCACATTATAAACACAAATTGACCTAGACTGGCAACAGTGCCACCAGGATTTACTTTTTATGTTGGCTTCAGAATGAAATTATCTTTGTAATTTAACTGCTTTGTTCTCTGCATCAGTGAATTACCAGATAAGAGCAAAGTGCTACTGAGAAATGGTTTTATAGAAAAGAAACACGTGAAGATGGAAACAAAAAAGGTAACTGCAATGTTACAAGGTCAGAGAGACTTGAAATAAAAATGTCACACTAAAACATGCAGGCAGAGGCATCTAGCTACAAGAAAAAAAGCACCTTTATTTTGTTGCTTAATGTGCATCTGGGTAAAAGAAGAGCTAAAATGTTGTAAAGGTGGAAGAAAGAAGAAGGGAGGAAATTCAACCTGCCACAGGTTATCAAAGACATCACCTCAGAGCTGGTACCTAGACAAAAGCAAAGAACAGATTGAGCAAAGGGGAACTCTCAGCTTCTTCAGCTTCAAAGCAACAGGTGAGTTGATAGCACTGCACAGACAAAAGCAAACTGGGGATAATTTAAAGAACCTAATTCACTGCTCAGTCTTTGCAGTTCTCAGGGTATTGACTGAAGCAAAGTTATTTCACACATATCTACAGAACCCTGGTAACTGATCAAGTGTCCCTCCAGGGACATCCACTGCTGCTAAACCCTCCTGAGTAGCTGAGGAGATTTTCAAGGTTATATCCAGAGAGGTTGAGGTGATCTCTGGGAATGGGGTGGCAAAAGGAATGAAAAACATCCCCAGAGACTGGAGTGATGCAACTTCACTGATAGAAAAGTGACTTCTGACAGTCCTAATCCACTGCCCTAAGCAATGTCATCTTCTGCTGCACTGCTATTTCCACACCCTTGGGTATTTCTGGAAAACACAAAACCCTTTCTTTGTACAGCACGTTCAATGATTTTGCACCTACGCTGAGCGATCATTATCATGAAACACATTTCCTTATTTATCACTCCCCGCTTTGACAAACTAAATCACATTATAGACTTCTAAAGCAAGCAGGAGGTTTCCTCCTATTGCTGTAAATGCCTTTTCTGGGGAAGGGAGCAGGAGGAAGGTGGATTTTTTTGCTTTACCTGTGTGAACACAGTCCTTTGCTCATCTTACCAGGTCAAGGCTGCCTGAGCTCAAACAAATCCTGAGCTGCAGGGAAAACCAGCTGAGTTTCTGGTGTGCCCCTGAGTGGCCTCACCAGAGTGAAAGCAGTGTCTGGGGATGAGTGCCTTGTCCGGATCTGTGGGAGTTTGTTTGTTTTGAGGAGAGAGACCAGAAAGCGGCAAAGAGGAAACAAGTGAGGAAAATGAGGGCTGGGGGCAGAGCTGCACTCGGAATAACAAGGATGAGGCTCAGTGCCTCTTGTTGTGTTTTCATTTTCTCCTCTTTTGCACTCACAGGACATTGTCCCTCTGCCTTTCCTGCCTGTTTGCTGACACAATCAGCGTGTTGAGGAAGGTGATTGTCGAGGTCTTCATTCTACTCTTGTCCATCTGTCCCCATGTCTCCATTCCAACTCTCTCTGCCACATGGAGCCACATTTTGCTGCCTGCATGGTCTGCCTGGAGAAGCCCTGACCCAGTGTAACAAGCATGACAGAAAAATGGGAGAATGGATCCAAGAGCCCAGAGAGCACTTCTTGGTCTGTGCCTGCACCCAAACATTCTCCCTTTGCTGGACACACACACACCCCCTGATCCCTTTTCCACACTGCTGATACCACACGAAGAAAGATGAAGTGAGATCAGATACAGGAGGAGTGAGGGGAAGATAACTCTTATTATCTCACCTTTCCTTTCCCACCTCCTTCCTGTCTCCCCTGTTTATCTGCATGTGGATAGGGGTGAAACAGGGATGGCAGCAGCAGAAAGTGCCCTCTGCACCATCCCTCTAATCCCTCTGCTTCCTGGGACAGGAGATGAAAGCAGCCAGGGAAGCTGGAATCAGGGAACAACACCCCCAGCTCAATTCCTACCACGTTCCAGCCACACACATCAACCCAGTCCCTACCCCTTCCTTTAATTTGGGCTTCCCATAGGGCAGAACCCCAGATGGGTGGCAGATAAGCTGCTGTATGTTTTGTCAGGGTGTTTGATTACTACCTGGCTCAGGTAAATAAAGTATTTAAGCTTTCAAAACCAATGCTAACATTGGTTCAGAAGAGTTACAGGCAAGTCATGTGTCTCTACAACAGAATAAAACTTCAGCAGTCAGTGGTGAGACCAGTCTTGAGTTATCCCTCAACTTAAGTCTTGTTACTGGGGACTTGAAATTACTTTGTACATTATAAATGATTTTATTATTATTACATATTTTTTTTCCTCATATTCTGGTACCAAACTATACCTGTCCTCAAGACAAAACTGGGTGGTTTTGAGTTCTACCCCTCTTTAACTTACACTGGGTTTCCTTCAGGTCCAAGAGGCCTTTACAATTGCTCTCAACTGGAATTAGAAGCAAGTGGTCGGAAAACCCATATCATCTAAAAACCAACAACCCTTATTTGGTTATGGTTGTCCCAGTCTGACCTTGCACTTTCCTGGCGTACTGAGTTTTAGTCAAAGTATTCCTCCATTAGAAAGATGGAGAGAAACTTAAAGATTCATTGGTTTAAAGTTCAAACAGCAGATGCAAGTAAAAATCAGGAACACAGGCAAAGTCAATAAATAAACATGGAAAGCTGGAATTCTGCTTTCTTTGCCCTCCCACCTGCTCTTTCCACGTTTCCACAGTAGTTTCAGAAAGAAGTCTTTTATGCACTTGTTCATATACTCCTTTCATTAAAACACCCAACAAAATAACCCCAGAGAAGCACCCCTCAGTGAATCCCCTCCTTCCACAACCTTAAAATTAAAAATCTGAAATTGCAAACTACGTTTTTTGGCCGTGGAAATACAAAGTGCGGTACACACAAATCTTCAAAAGCAGGCATTGCACTACACCCACACACAGTCAGACCTGTCAAAATGATCCTCAGCATCTTCTCCTGCCCCATGCAAAGCTGAGCAGAGGACGATGCACGAAGCAGGGTGGTTCCTTATCCTTCTTGCAAATGTCAGGAGGTGTTTTTATCAGAGCAGCGCTAGCCCACGGGACTGGGGAATCACTTGACATGCCCTTACCTTCCTTATCTCTGTGCTGCTTGAACAGACAGCTTCATCTTCCGGCTACTTTGTCCCGAACAGCCTCTAAACAACCTCTTTTCACCGCTTTTTTATAGTTGATTGTCAAAGCCTGGGGAGGGGAGGAAGGGGAGGGCTCCCACCTTGGAGAGCCGGGCTGCAGCTGGGTGTCATCAGCTCGCTGAACCCCCTGCCCTCCGCCCACAAAGCGCTTTATTTACCGACCTGCCAGTCCAACTGCAGCTCGGGAGGATAAATATTTACCTCGCAGGAGCCGCGTCTGTTTAAAAGCCCCGCTGCTTTTGGATGAGATGGGATGGAGCGGGGAGAGCAACAGGAGCGGCCGCGGCAGCAGCAGCGCCGAGAGCGGCCGCGCTCGGACACGCCGGGCCCGCTGACCTGGTCCTGATCCTGATCCTGATCCGGATCCTGCTCCGTGTCCTTCTCCTGGTCCTGGTCCTGATTCTGGTCCTGGTCCTTGTCCTGCTTCTGGTTCTGCTCCTGCTCTTGGTCCTGGTCCTTGTCCTGCTCCTGCTCTTGCTCCTGCTCCTCTTCTTAATCGTGCCCGGCGCTGCCTCCGCAGCTCCGGGACAGCCGCGATACTCGTGACAGCCGGGCCCGCTCTTTCCAGTCCCGATCCCTTTCCAGTGCCGGTCCCGATCCCTTTCCAGTCCCGATCTCTTTCCCTTTTTCCCTTTCCAGTCCCGATCCCGGTGTTCCCGTTCCCGGCCGCGCTCGGGGCCGCCCCCGAGTGACGGCGCCCGGCGCTGCGCCCCCCCCGGCACGGGCAGGTGCTCCAGGGAATTCCTGCGCTCCGGGAATTCTCTGCACAGCTTCGCTATTGCTGGAATCGAAAGTATTTATTTTATGTTGTTTTTCCTTTTTTTTTTTTTTTTTTTTTTTTGGTGCGTTTTCCAGCGCCCCCCGGGGGTTTTTCCAGGTTAACACGGGCATTGACCGAGGAAAACACCGACTGCTCCAAAGATTTGAAAAAAAAAAATCAGGTGTTTCTCTACTTAAAACACTTCTCGCCGGCTCTAATTCTCTTAGTGAAATAACAGCATATTTATATTGTTACAGCTGTTTCATATCAGCATTTACTTGCAAAAAAAAATCAGCATTAGAGGCTGGTTTCTGAGCAGGAGTCAATGATCTAATGAGGTTTTTTTACTGAAAAAAAACCTCAAGTGCAGGAAGGCTGCAAGTACACAAACGTTAAACAAGAACACGCTCGTGAAGTGTATATTTTCTTCTGTCTCCAGAGATTCCAGGATCACTCCTGAAAATACTAAAACTCCTGTGGGTTTTGGTCATTGGGAGCTCCCTGGTGATCATTGGGGCGCCTGGATGAGCAAAAATTGGATAAAGGGTTTCTGTTGAGCAAAGGGGTGACCTGTGCTGCACTGGCTGGGATGTCAGTTTTCTGTGGAGCTGGCTAAACAAAAGTAACTGCTTAGCAGAAAGTGAGATAAAGAGATTCCAGACAGGTATACAATGCAATTAACACACACTTTTCACTCTTTGTGGATTGGTTTTATTTCGACCCCTATAGTTTGCTGCCTTTTTTCTGGCATTATGGTATCTTTCACCTAAATAGTTTAAGCATGTCTAAAATACACGTGTTTTTTTAAGGTAGTTTTGTCACTTACAACACTTCTCCTCAGTTTTAGAATCTCTTTTTGCCTAGAATAATCTTCCAGTGTATTTGGGGTGTTAAAACTTGTTCCCTGTTACCAGCTGAGCCACTCTCTGACCTTGGGAAGAATTACATGTTATTTCAGATTTGCTTTAAATTTACACAAAACACCAAGGCTATGAATCACATACCAGATATTCCAGATAGAGGACTGGACATAGAGAGCAGACATGCCCAAGGTGCGGGAGAGAGAGAAAATGGGAAGTGAAGTAGAATGCCTTTGAAACGTCTCTGAACACGCCAAAGAATAATTTAACCTGGCAAGGATCCACGGGCTGTGTATTAATTTGGCTTTTGAATGTTTCTTGTCTTTTGGCTCATCTTTGAGGTAGCCCTCTTAAACAGGCCACGTAGAGGAGCGGTGAAAATGACACAGGTTGGTAACACTTGCATCTCTCATAACACCGATACCAAAAATTATTGGGCAGTGAGTATTGAGTCAGTGGAATTTAGAACAATCTGGGCAAAACTTGGTTGAAAGCAGCCCAGTTTCCCCTCCTTTTTCCCAGCTCACTTGACAGGTGTGTGGACAGCTTTGCCCATGAAGCAGCACCTGTGAGCCTCACTGACACAGGGCTCCTCCTGCGCGGTTTATTCGTGCCCTGGAAGTGCCAAGCCCCTGCTGGCACATGGTGCTCTCCAGTTTTTGGGAGAAGGAGCGTCAGGCAGGGCTGGGAAGGCGAGCAGGGCCTTGCCCCAGTGCAGGGGAAGGGCCTGGAATGAGGAGGCAATTACTGTCACTCCCTTGGGAAGAGCAGGCAGGGGCAGAGGGAGGCTGAGCACGCAGCACAAGCCCCTCTCTGTTCACGGCTCGTGATTTTACAGCTTCTTTAGTGTTTGACACAACATTGCTGCACCACCAGAAAGCAGAGAGAATCTTGATTCTGGGCTCCCTTTAGCTCGTTGGTCCTGTCTGTCCTGTTTGTTATCATTGCAATAAGTGAGTCAGTTCTGCACCTCTGCCATTGCAGCGGGTTCCAGGGGCACTCCCTCAGCTGTGCTGGCCTCTTGGCTGATTACCATTCCAGAAGCGCCCCTTCCATGAGAGCGGTGTCTTTGCTGCAGCGGTGCAGACCCATGACTGCCACAAAGCTGGCATTGTGCTGAGTCTTTGCCTCTCTTGTGCAACAATGGGGTTTATTCAGGGAGAGCAGAATCATCCTTCTCGGAAAAGACCCACGAGAAAAACAAGTCGGGAGCCCCAAAGCAGAGCACTGGGGCTTTACCAACCATCTTCACTTTTTCCATCCCAAAAGACAAATTCTCTGTGAGATCTCCCACAGTTTATCCTGATGAGATTTAATCACCAGGGTTTATTCTTATGTTCTTGAAAGTCACTGAGCAGACCTGACCGAGTTTCTCTTCCTCAGCGCCGCAGTCACATTTTGGGTCACTTTGGCAATGCTGAGTTTCAGTTCAGGCCAGGTTCCTGACCCTGCAGTTGTGCCTGGGTGGTGCTTAGGCTGGTGCATCCAGGGGTTCTTTCCTTGTGCTGCTTGCCCTGTTAGTGGATTGTGCAGAAAAGTGGCAAAATGGATCACAGTCCCTGAGGGGTAAGGGCCAAAACAGACTCTGAGATGAGGGCTCTAAATGGCCGTGCTCCCTGGATAGAAACTCGTGGTTATAAGGCAGGAAATTAAAAAAAAAAAAAAAAATCATCTTTTGATACATCACTTTTCAGTGTGTTCCAAATTGCTGTTATATTTGCTGAAAGGTTTTTATGAAGCTGTAATTTTCCTGTTTATGAAGGAGAGTAAATTAGTTGCAGCTAAAGTAGCCTGAATTCGGTCCCAACCACTCAGATATTTTAGTAGCAATTTGCTCAAGAATTCTCACAAGATTTCACATCCTTCTTTATGAAATCTTTTCTCCAAGACTACAACAAAAGTTAGCCACAGTATGGTTGCACTGCTTCCCCCAAAATCACAGCCCTCATAGGCTGCAGGCTGGGAAACACCAGCGTTAAAACAACAAATAAACATCATGATGCAGGATGGTGAAAGCTGCAATACTGTGTAATCTCTTTTCTTTGAAAAAAGTGACCCATTGAAACGCTCAGGGGTTTCCCTTCCTGTAAATGGGGATAAATTAGCTGCAGACAGGAAATAATGTGTTGGAGGATCCTTCCCCATGGACTCCATGCAGCTAATCCATTCTGTCTCACTAGAAAGTGCACCCTGCTTTATCTTTAGCTGAGATTTGTGGGCAGTCACGTCACCAATTTCCTCTGGCACAACCTTCTCTTACCCTTTGAAAACTTTCTTTTTTAATTGGTTAAGGTATGCCTGCGGTTTGTTCTGCTTGGTGGAATGACTTTGAAACATTCAAGTTGAGAGCTTGAATAGAGATGTTTTGCCCCTGCATAAAAGTAGAAATTCTGCATTTAGAAACTAGAATAATGAGATTTTGCACATTAGCTACAGCTCCTTGATACGAAACCAGAATTTTATTTTTCCTCTGTCATCATTTAGCAGAACACATGATAGAGAGGTCTTCTTACTAGTTTATATATATATATATATATATATATATATATATATATACACATATACAGTTTAAAAAATTCCTCAATATGTGGATGGTTTTGCCAGAGAGAACTATATTTGTTGAGCAGTTTGGGGCTTTTCCCCCAGTCTTCCCATTTCACCCCAGAATACTCCATTGACACGTGCAGTCCTTAAATAAAGCCTTTCAGCAGTCTGTTGCCCCTTTCATCCAGCGTTTTAAAAAAAGATTTAAGCAATCCATGAATGAGGTTGCTCGCTGCAACTGGAATTCCACCTGAGGCAGGTGGAATTATCCAAATTTAGGTGGTGCTGCTGCGAGGACTTGGCGCCATCTCGTGTTCAGCCTTTAAATCACTCGCTAAGAGAGATTTAAACCCTGAGAGGTTTGGGGGGAGGAGCAGGTAAACAAAATTTTATAAATTCTGGGGTTGGCAAACCTGCTTCAGTGAACCAAGAGCTGGCGGGGGGCAGCTGCAGGCTTTTCAGGTAGGCACAGCTGTTTCCAACATCTGCATTTGCTCTCACCATCAGGAGACGCAGGATTTACACCCTGTGTGGCTGAGTGTATTGGTGTGGAGAACACAGCCCCATGCAAGCTGGTGTTCCGTGGTGATGTTCAGTCGTGGGATTTGTTTAGTCACACCGCTGGGGGATTCAACAAATGCCTGAATTCGTTGTGGGGAATAGAAAGAAAAGCATGCTAGAAAGGCTTTGTGAGCTACAGAAGATGTTATTAAGCTGAAAAGATGTCTGTCGTCACATTATGTCTTCAGAAAATCTAGTCAGTTTTTTTTAAGGTATTTCTTATTAAAAAAAGAAAACAAACAACAAACACATGAAATCCTGTCCCTTCAAACATCAAGAGAGACTATAACAGCAGAGAAACTGAGTTCAGCTTACCTGCCAGCTTGGAGGCAGGGCACCAGCTGGGCCTCTTGCCCTGATGGCGTTGCTCCTTGCTCCCCTCTGTGTGTCAGGGGGGTGGTGGCTCTCTCTCAGCCCTTCTCCCACAGCCCCACACCCAGCTGCAGCAGCTCATGCCTTCTCTTTTGGTTTTGGGGCAGCCCTGGGGGCAGCCCTGGCTCAGCTGTGAACGCCCTGTGCTGGCCGAGCTGCAGAAATGAGCTGTGGGCTGGGAC